ACTGTACCCATACTTTGGGCAAATCCTTTAGCTCGTATAACAAAAAATTCTGTAAAAATAATTTCTATTTATTTTTCTTATCTAAATGAACAAGAAAAAGGTCAACTATTCTCAAGTATGCATCAATTTGATCTAACCTGTATACCTCACAAAACACTATTCCAATATGCTGATTATTTAGAGAATTACTCCAGTCAGAAAATAAAAAATATAGCCTTACTTTGGTATAAGAAATATCAAAATATATCAAAGCCTAGTTTAGAAATCTCAATACTCGCTATCCAAAGTATGATATTTCGCAGGTGTAAAAAAATTCGCAAAATTCAGATTACGACACATGATAATTTACCAGAAAAATGCTTAGAACAATTTTTAAAAATAATTGGTACTCAAACTAAGCTCAAGAGGCTTGATTTAGTTTGCTGTCATATTTATAACAATTTTGATTTAACTTGATATATATCATCAATACCTCAAAAATTAAGAAAACTAGTTTTGCAAAAAATTAAGTTTGATAATTATACTTGATTGATTTTATTTCATGTTTAGAAATTTTGACAATTAAAGTTTCATCCGGTAATCTTTTCAAAGAAAGCAAAAGTAATTTAGAAAATCTTCAAAAATTAGAATTAGTTTGTAATGATATAGAATTAAACAGAACTATACTCAGTATAAAGAGCAAATCGCTTAAAGTTTGTATATTATATGAAAAATATTTAGATAAAGAAAAGAAATTGATTTCTTTACTTTGTCAAAACTATCCAAATCTTGTTACTTTATGTTATTTTAGTAGCAATCTTAGGCTTCCTTTTATATTAGTAGAACTTCAACATCTTTATCAACTACAGTTGGGAGGTTTTGAGTGTTATCAAGATATTTTTACACCTCTAGTTAACTATTTGCCAAAATCACTAACCATTCTTAATCTATTAAGTGTTTATAATTATAAATATAAAAACTTAAATAGTTTTTTACATAATCTGGATACAGAATTTGTTAAGTTAAAAGTCTTAGTATTACCTCTTGATATTGAACTTAACCAAATTCCAAATTTGAAGAATTTTATAAGACAAAATAAGTATTTAGAGAAGTTAGAAATAGTTAAAAATTTCAATATCGAAAAGAAAGAAGATTGTGAGAGAGATATAATTGATCTATGTCAAGCTAGAAATGTAAGATGCAATTTAAAAATGCAAGATATTAGTCAACAACAACAATTATATCAATTGTCCTCCTATGGAGGTTTTTTGTAGCGTGATTTGACTTGGTGGTTAGAGAATTAATATCGATCTGAGAATTTCACAAAAAAAGGGTTTAAAAGATAGCAAATTCGAATACCAAAGCACTGAAGAAGCGTATTGTTTTAAGCGAATGAAAATAAATCTTTAATTGTATAATCAAATTAAATAGTATTGTTTTTGCTTAGTATATATTGAGACAACTAAATAAAATCAATATTAAAAAAAATGTCTGAAGGAGTGAAAAGATCTTTGGCATTACTGTATATTCTGATTTTTATTCTTACATTACTTTGTCCATCTCTTGGTAATAATTAATATATCTAATAAATGTGATATTTACTTGATGACAATCCAGTACTTAAATCTTTTTATAATAGTGTTGACAAAAGTCAAACTTTTTGATCAAACTAATGGCGTTCTTAAGTACAATAAGGGAGTT